TTTCGAGTTAAGATCAAGAGACAATAGCAGCCTGTGTTCCCCGGGAAATCCTTAATTTTTTTCTTTCTTTCTTTTTTTTTCTTCAACGTCTATCTTCCGTCTGGCATCTGTTATGTCGCCACCAGGATATCGTGCATTCTTTGTGTCCTTATTATGCCAATCCTCTAATGTTTCTTTGATCGTTCCTTAATCTCTCCTCGAGAATCGTTTCCATCATGTACGCGTACAATATGGCTTTTTGCGTCATAAGAGAAGTTAAACGGGAATAATTCATGAAACGAAACGATCATGTGATTCTTGAAAAAAGGGAAACACGTTGATTCTTGATTTATATTCTTCATATATTTTCATATAGGAATACAGGTGGTGTTTAAGTTAAAATTTGATTGATGTCATAAGATAAGAAAGTCTGTGAACTCAAAATATAAAATTTAAAATTCAATAATTTATGCAATCAAATAATAATAATAATAATAATAATTTTTAATTTTATAAATAAATGTAGAATATAAAATTCTATTTTTTTGGAGAAAATTAGATTTGAAAATTCATTGAATATGCATTTGAACATCGACTGTTTTGTTTCGATTTAGTATCGTAATAATATCTGCTATTTCTATTTATGTTTATATTCAATGCGAGTAAAGGCCATTGAATAAAAAATATACAATTTTTTCATTACGAATAGTTGTATCGGCGATATCGATAATGATACAGAATAACATCCGAATGATATAATATATAAACATCATCAATATCTCTAATGGTTAAAAAGAATCATCTCGATGTTTTATCATGTGAAAGATATGAATAATATGAAAGAAATGAACTTTTACAAGTAAACGAAAAATAGTAATATTTTACAAATAAATCTTATAAATTATAAGTATAATTATTCTATTTAATTTAAAATTGTAAAATAATGAAAAATTAATCCATAACTTTTTTCTTATAATGTTAATTCATTGATATTGTGTAAGAATCCAATGAAATCATCAATTCTCTGATATATTATATTGCACATTAAAATGAAAAAAATATAGATTATAGATTACCTAATGGAAGAAGTGAGAAAATAATTGAGAAACACTGACTTTGATAATAACAGGTGGATCTTGAAAGTGGATCTTGTTTATTGACGTATAAAAAGAACAAATTCTGACCTACGATTAGATTGCTATGTGGAAACGTCAATAATCTTAAATTGATAATTATTGCGAAAAATCTTTTGATTTTCGATTAGGAAATATACATGCACCAATTTTGGAAATATAAAAAAAAATTGAAATTAATCAAAAACTTATCTTCGAAGAAAATCATATGAACTGAAAAGTTTTTCATGGAACATAATATTCATCTTCTTTCGAAAGATCACGAATCTCGTCTATTTTCTTAGTTTTGTTCGCGAAAGGTCGTGAACCTGGGGAATAAGTCCCGTTTGATTTTTCATTTCGCAAAGAATGGATCATTTATCGTAACGTTCACGGTTGGTTGGTGTGCATCTGCTATATATAGAAGAAATACCATCTTTTTCTTGAGAGAGAAAACGGTTTCAAGCAATTCTTGTTTATTCCTTTATTAAAAGCAAAAATAATAATTAAATGATTTTCATAATTATAACTTTAACAAATTAAAGATCATTATTTTAATATTCAAATTTTCAGGGAAGTAGATATATATTTACTCATATATACTTACATATGTTCAAATAAAGTCGGAATTGCAATTAATAAACGTAATTTAAAGAAACTACATGCATCTGCCAGACACTACAATTTGAACGAAGATAGAACGCCTGATGATTATTGACAGCTCGTTGATCTCTTCAGTTGCACGCAAAAATGTTTTATAATGATGTTTTATAATGTTATAGGAATACAAGGAATTCAAGGACAGCTTACAAGCAAAATGAAATTCAAACCATTCAAATCATTTTGAATGTCTGAATGTATCCAAGAGAGATTCGATTTTTGGGCAAGTGTATCGAATTGCGATTATTTGCGATTATTTTTTCGTTATTTATTTTCTGTATCACAAATCCTCAAAGCAATCATCACGATTGATGGTCTTCATTCACTTGCGTAATTCGAAATTTGCGAAATTTTTCCTTCATTAAGATAATCCGACACTTGACGTCATAAACCTAACCTAATAATGGCATACCTCACTGTATTTATGAAAACGATGGAGGGGATTTTAATTATTTGTCCCTTGATAGGATCTGCTCTTGAGAAATTCCTTCTTTTTCTTCGATATCTTTGATTCTAGATTATATTTTATTTTCTTTTGCATATTTTTCAATGGGCATTAACACATAGTGTTCAATTGATTCTTTTATAATTAATTTACCTAATGTTAATTTCACTAATTTTTATTAAGATAAGAATCAAATAAACGATTATCGATAAATCGAATCTCGATTAATTTATTAACGATGGTTATTACAATTCCGTTGTCACATTTTTTTCATCATAATCACTAGAACTTTGATTCAACGAAATTTCGAAGCACGAACGCGAGAGGGCGCCCACCCACGATGCGAGCGCGTGTTCCTTACTATGCTGAAATTTTACCTTGTGGAAAAGAATTAGTCAAGTCGTGTCTGTTGACTCAGCTTGCAAGCGTCCATTCGCGCCAACGCGTTAATGCAAGTGGCGATAACATGCGCCTACTTCTCAAAGATATGTAGGACTTTGTTCTCCTTGGTTTAGCAGGGGAATGTCCGTCGCAGGGGGGACTTAAAAAAGGATCAACACAGGAATAGCCATGCCTCTAAATTCGAAGTGTCATGGCACCCGGCCAAAAGGGATACCTATTCGTTTCGTACCTGTCGGGATCGTGACCTCTTTATTGTTCTTTTTCTTCGGGCGGATCATGGGCAAGAGGACCCTTCTCGATTTTTGTTTCGATCGGCTACAGATGCATTCAGAAGTCGCTACTGGCAATTCGACGTGGCGCCTGGCATGGCTAGAATAATCGAGTTAATGCGCCGTATAGATGTTGAGATATTGACGGTAGGAAATTCAAGAAGATTGACGATTTCTTTCGTCAATTTTCTTATACAACGATTTTTGATTTTTTATTTGATAATATATAAAAATGAATTACTAAAATTCTATGACATCAAAGAATATATTATATACTTTTTTATCGATCTGATATAAAAATGGACATATATTTTTGATTTATAAAAAGAATATCTTTTTTATTTTTGTTTTAAAATGAAAATAAAAAATAATTTTTTTCTACTATGTATTAAATAACATTTAATGATACATGAAAAATATTTTCCATGTCCAATTTCTTACATGTTTAAAACTATTACGTTTTAAATATAGATTACAGCAGTGATTCTCAACCAATATGTCGCGAAAATTTTATTACAATTTTAACAAATATAAAATTATGTAATATTTAAAATATGTAAATAATCGATCAATGCAACAATTAAAAATCATTACATTGTCTCTATAATATTAGCTAGATTAAAATGTTGATTTTTTATTAATATTAATATTAATATTAGATGTCTTATTGTTTAATGATTTTTTTTTAAATAAAAAAATTATAAAAAATATTAAAATATATTGATGATGTTTTAAATAGATAAAAATTTTTTTAAAAATTATGATATATCATGAAAATTTATATAATTTTAAAATATATAAATAAGAAGATTAAGTTAATAATTATTATAAATTTATGTTATAGAAGTATTTTTGTTAAATATAAAAATTTCGTGTATGTATACAATAGAAAAATAAAAAACTACGTCGTAACGAATATATTAACTGAATTAATCTTCTGAATTTTTATATGATTGCCCTTTGAACTAATGTAATATAAACAAAATTGACCGTTTGAACTAAACGTATCAAAGAGTATTTTTTACGAATATTATAATACTACTCAATTACGTTTCAAAACGTATACTTAATAGAATTAATTTATTATTTTATAATAATTAATTATAATTAATTTTTTAATAGAAATTAATTTATACGATATCTGACAATAAAATTTGCGAATTTATTATAGTAAAACTATTGATCTTCATTTTCCAAAATAATTTTAAAAATATTTTATATTGTCTTTAAAGTCATATTATTTTTGATGTCATTAATATAATTAAAATATCTTTCTCTGAATATTTTCTTTATTTTTAAAAACAAAATTATAATAAATATTGTATACAATTATTTTTTTACTAGTCGAAAGTTCTTTTGAAAAAAGAATTTTTATTTTAATGATATTAATCAAAAATAACTGTGACTTTAAAAAAAATACAAAATATTTTTAAAATTATTTTTGCAGCTTTAAAACCTATCCTACAAAAGTATTTTCAAAATTGTTTTGAAACAAAACAAGGCGCTAATATTAATGTTTAGCTTTTCAAGATTCCAAAGACTACTTTGAAAATGATCATAATAATATTCAACATTAAGTTTAATAATTTTATAACAATTTTTTATAGAATTGTATATTTTTGCAATTAAAAAAATCAAATAAAGAAATAAAAGAAATTACTTAACTAAAAATCCTTACATTACAAGCTTTTCTATTATATTTTTTAAAATAAATATTATCTTTCACAATATATAACAAGCAATCGATTATTAATCTACCTATAATTATCAAACAAATTTAATACATATTTATACATATTAATTAAATTTTTATTAAAATTATTAAAAGAATTATTGTTCCACTTTCCATTTCTATAATTCTTCATTTTTGAAAAGATCGGTAGGTCTCTTCAAGCTCATTCGAATCGTCCACTGACGTATCCATATGCGGAGACGTTTACAAGGAGCGAGAAGATTACTGTCGTCTGTTATCATCGTTGATGTATTAGTGTGAGAGGAAAGGGGGGTATGGGGCGTTATCGACGACGATAGCGTGGCTATATATAAAGCTGTCCGTTCGTCGTTGACATTAGTTCAATATTCGTCGCAGTCTTTTCTTCTTAATACACATCTTCTACCGTGTCTTTCTTTTTTTCTCTTCCTCCGTCTTCTTTTTCGAGTATCATCGATATACGTCTTGACTACCGTGGTACGCGATTCATCATCATCCCTAAACAACTCCGATCATCGGTGCATCACGCTCCAAGATATTTGTTGAAAGATAAGAATAAGGAAAGTTAAGCTTTAGAGTTACAATTTATACACAAATCAAAACAGAGGGATAATAGAAAGAAATTAAAAAATGAAGGCGACGGTGTTCTAGCGTCGGTAGTAAACCGAACGCTCTCCACGAAACATTTGCTGTGTTTTTCCACGCGCCACGAAGCTCGATCGGAATTGCGGATCGGATTTGAAATATCGTTCTAGAAAGACGACGGCCACCGTGAAGAATAAAGAATACTACCCACGTTTGATGAATCTGTTGCGGGCCAGCCTAGTTATGTTCTCGATCGAGTACAGCAAACAATTCCTGAGCTACCGTATACTCAAGTCGAATCGGTTCAAGTACATCTGACGATACGGACTCGGACTAAGTGTGATAAAAGGGTGTGCGCTACGGCGAGAGTGTATATGTGAGCGTACTGTGCCGTGTTCGACTTGTTGGGAACGGATAGTTCGGATTGAGGGCTCGAACACAGAGAAAGGGATCGGCAAGACCTGGAAAGTCTTGTTCGCGATTTTCACCGATGCGTCGATCGTTTCCTACCCTCGATACGGTCTGAGGAAACGAGGAGACGTCCGCCATTTTCGAAACGCTTTCGAAAACACGATAAAATCGCGAAAGAAGAAAACGTATTTCAATCTATAAAGAGGTGATACGAATCAATCGTAATCACATAGATATATTAGCAGCCGATGAAACGCAAGATTAAATTGATTTGAAATAAACGAAAATATTGTCAACCTATTGTCAACCTTTCAAATCCATTCGTAAATCATATTTTTCACATCAAAGTGAACACAATCGATACTATATATTCACAAAATTCTCTTTGATTGAAAGTCTAAAAATTTTATAAAGGGGAAGTTTGCACGTTTCTGGTCGAATTCGATTAACGAAAATACAAAAAAAAAAAAGAGAATAAAAATGATCGTTTACGTCCCGGGTAGAATGCCAAGCCACGTTGGTGCGTACGGCTCCGTTCGTTATCCTGGCACGTTGCTAGGAACGATACCGGGTTTTTACAGCCCGATTTCCGGTTACCCGACTAGCCCAAACATCAACTACTACGGGAGCCTCAGCCTGCATCAGCAAGCACCGCTAGACCTTCCGGTTTGGCCGCGAAGCATGCCGGTCGAGGAAGAACTCGGAACTTCCCCATCGACCACGTTGCCGGGTTTGGGAGTGTCGCCTGATGGTTTGACGAACGGTGGTCCACCGAGCCCAGTGCACAGCGATTCAGACGCCTCCAACTCCAGTTTGGAACTCGGCTCTATTCGACGTGGAGAGAATGCCCAACTAAAGTGCAGGTAAACTATATCACTGTTTCTTTAAGCTTTAGAAATCTAAAATCTGAAAATCGAAGAAAGATCCAACTGAGATCATAAGATTTCTAATGAATTTTTATGGAATAAAACAATATAGGTGTAGTTGAAATATTTAAAATTATAATATACTAAGACATAAATTGAATAATTTCATTTAAATATCGCAGAACTTATATGCATAACATTTCTTTATAAAATATAAATTGATATAAATAATTCATATCTCACATACCAAAGAATAATTCAGAGCAGTTTTGTAATATTTTGTCAAGGACATAAAAAATTATTTAAATAAAATATAGAAAAAGATATTCGGTTTCTAACAAAAGAAAATTTTGTATAAAATTTCATAAAAAATTATAAGATTATCCGAAAAAAATCTCGAGATGCAATTCAAATGTAAAATCGTAAAGATATTTTGCTAACACCTTCGAGCATATTTATCCGCATTGAAAAACAGAGTTTGCAAATATGTAATGACGAGACGTTATCTAAATTGAGTGCAGATTTATTTCTCTCTCCTCTCCTTTCCCCTACGAAATCTGAAACGAATGTTTATCTTTGGTTCTGCATCTCGTTATCAGTAAACAAGAAACTCAATATCAAAGTACTTACTTATTTCTATATCTATCTTCTATCTCTTTCTATGATTGACTGTTGTTCAATTGACTGACTTTCTTTTTTTAATTTTTTCTTTATTTTTGTGTTTTTCATTTGAATTATTTGACTCAAAGATGGGTTTTCACACGAATCTCGAGTTTACGCGCGCTTCTCTTAAGTGACACTAATTTATCTATGGCACGCGTATGACTACGCACAGCACGCGTCATTCTAACTTTAATCAATTTCTTATATCCAATGGAATATCAAAGTATTCATTTCTTTTTATACTACTTTTTCTTTTCCTTGCTTCTTCTTGTTTCAGAGAAATTTCCAATTAAGATATACCACGACTGTTTTTAAGGAAATGCTCAAGAAATTTGAAATGTCTTCGTAATTTTTCTTGTTATTTATAATTCAGTTCAATTTTCCTCAAGAGAAATTTGCAGGAAGAAAAAAAGAAAAAAATAAAGATTAGAAATAGAAGTATAATAATAAATATAATATTTATTCGTTATAAGCACAGAATTCAAGCCATGATATATAATTTGTTAAAAACATAAAATTTTAATTTTTTTTTATTCTTACCTTTAATGATAGTGAAGACTAAAAAAAAATGAGAATTGAGAGTTTAAATATTTGAAGAATTTATGTTGTATTATGTTATATTATTATATAATGTATATAATATATAATACTATAAAAACACTAGATCATTTTTAAAGATCTAGAATCGAGACTTTGACAAATCTAAGTGTTTACTGTTTCAAAGAAAATGTCAGATTTCGATAACCCCGAAATAAAGATTTCTGATTATTTAGCAATATCGTATTTGTAAATTTCGTTCACAATCTATTTTGACGAGATTTTGGGTTGAGATATAATTTATCGTGGTCCAATAATTCGTTACATTCATTTTGCATGTGGTAACCTTATATTCAGGAATGTCTGTTTCATTATCGTAATCATAAACGTGTTTTTGTCATCACTGAATCATGATATTCGTCATATTCGACAAATCCTCCATTTTCTCTGAAATTCGATGAGCGACGAATTCTTTTTCTCTATAGTTATTGAGATTATCATTAAATGTGAATGTAACAACAATGAATTATGCAAATAAAGAAAGAATGATTGTATATAATTCCGGGGAATTAGATGGTGAGCATCATTACCTTGATCCACAACCTTTTACACAACATGGCCGTTCACAGAATACGATGTTTAGCGTGATAAATAGCGCATGCGTCTAAATAAAGTGATGTCAAGCGACGCCAATTGCACAACGGACGGAATTGGTATCAATTGGTTGGTTGGCGGACATTCTTGACGTAAATCATGCATCGATATTTCAACTGAATGCCATTCCACTCCGATTACGTTTCTATACGTCGACTCTGGTACACGTGATGGTATGCTACTTGTTTCTTCTAACCTTGAAAAAGGGAAGAATATGTATAAGTTTCGAATCGAATGAAATTTCTTAAAGATTTATACGTTTCTCTTCGAAGAATAAGAGATGCACTAGGGTTTCAATCAATCAAATGATCAAAATGCACAGAGTGATTCTTCTTGCGCGTGTTGGATATATTTAGAATTTCTCGGTATATGAGTGACTGGAAAAATAAGTAATATAAATAGATTGATTGACGGGAAGAACTCGAGATTCGAGATATTGGCCTTAAACAATAATTATCTTATAAACGGGTCGATTGCTAGAAACAACTGAGCGATCAAAGATCAATATCCTTAAACGTTTCACGACTACGTACGTATCTCATATACATACAACGTATACTTACGCTTCCAATGCTTGGAAATGATCAAGTGAGATAAATTGAAATCACACTAGTAAGATTAAAGACTAACACATTCCGTTCCAATTTACAGATGGCAGAATTGTGGTCGTTGGTTCACGTCCTTGGAACAGCTGGCAGGACATGTTGCACGATTGCATGCTGCGCCGGGACCACGTGGACTCTTCTATTGTGGCTGGGAAGGATGTGCCAGAGGTGAACGTGGGTTTAATGCTAGGTAAAGAGTTTTTCATTTTCTTTTTGCATGATTTTAAATCGATTGAATTTCAATTCTTACTTCGTCGCTTTTTTCCTTCTCTAGGTATAAGATGCTGGTCCATGTCCGAACGCACACGAATGAAAAGCCGCATCATTGTTTTCAATGCGATAAAAGTTTCAGCAGAGCGGAGAATCTCAAAATTCACGCTCGTTCCCATACAGGTGAACGCCCTTATGTCTGTCCTGTCGAAGGTTGTAATAAGGCCTACTCGAATTCCTCGGACAGATTCAAGCACACCAGAACTCACGCCGTAGACAAGCCTTACTGTTGCAAGGTTCCCGGTTGCCCGAAGAGGTACACTGATCCCTCATCTTTGCGTAAACATGTAAAAACATATAGACATTACGTAAACAATAACGATAAAGTGCAAGAGAAGAGCTTCGAGGAGAATAATTCTCAGGAAAAGACAAGGTTCGACACTGTTTCACCAGAAAAGCAAAGTAGTAGTACTCACTCTGAATCGTCTGATAAAAAAGATAGTAGCATCGAAAGCAGCATGTCAAGTTCGAGTCCGAAAGCTAGCAATAGTTTTGAAGAGCAAAGGAATTTTGTTGAGTGGAACAACATGTATAATCTTCACGACCAACGTAAAGAACCGGAACAGATAACACCTAGAAAAACGTACGAACAGGAAGTGAAAATCTATCCGAGGATCTATGACGACAGTTATATAATACCGGAAAGAATTCAAGTGAATCCTATGTATGTTTCTAATAACACGATCATTAAAGGAAGTCCACCACAATCGATTCAATCGCCTCAGACCAGCCCGCATCACGTTCCTGATACGTTGCCTCGTATTGGAACACAGTCGACACCTATTAAGATCGAAGAATCCGTTGAATGTCCCAACAAAATTAGCTCTGTTGATTATAGAAATATCGAGTCGATCATTAACAGCACACCATGTAAAAAGGAAAATATTGGGATTAGTGATCCTGTGAGACATTCTGTGATAAAACGAGCAGAAGATCTTAAGATGGAAGTCGAGCAAATACCGATCAAGGAAGAAATTTGTAAAGATACTACCGATTGTTGTTGTCGTCACAAATGTTGCGTACATAATAATGATAACATTTTAGAAAAAACGAAGATCCTTTCAGATTTGATTCTTAAAACACAGAATCCTTTATTTAGAC